TGTGTGTGTGTGTCACACCAGCCAGCACCACGCACACAAGACATACAGGACACTGGGACATTCGCTAGTCTCAGACCAGAGCGCGCGAGCACCTTTTCCCGCTCGGTCTTGTGAGTTCCTCCACTTCTTTGCCTTCTTACTAGATCTACTTTCGTGGTGTTTGGATATAGCTCCCGTTCAGTGGCAGAACTGCAATGATGCTTTTATTCTTTATTATTGACTAGTTGCATTTTGATTTCCTTGCTGTGTTCGGCTTTATTCACTGCAGCTGCGTGCAGAATGAATCGTCGGTTGGATTTCTCAGTAGTATCTGGATGATACCGTCAATGTTTTAACAAACTTTTTTTTCCTTTCTGTTTGGATACATTTGGATACCGGCTTTTGTTGTGTAAGCTTTTTCTACTTGGGCGTTGTAGACAGGCTCAGAGCAGCGTGCCTCCGTTGTGATCTAAATTGTGTCGATGAGGGCGCACAAAACCCTCCTGCATTAAAAAAGAACGAATAAAGTAGACATGAGTTTGAATGCCGGGGGGGGGGGTATATTATGTTGCCTAAATCCCGTTGTCTCCTGGAATGCTGTCTCCCTCTCAAGCCAAACTTATTAGACCACAAGAAAGGGCCGGCCCTCTTGAACAATCTAAATTGTGTCTGTAGGGCTTTGAAAGATTTACAATAACACATATAATGAATGTAGTTCCAACTGCTGGGCAAGTCAATAAAGATAATTGGGGTTTTTTTTCTAGCCGTGTGGCAAACTCGATCGATGGTACTTCAATTATCCTCTGTTGTCTTTTTGGTACAGTGTTTGAGGCTGTTGCACGGAGTCCCTCTTCCAAGTTTAACAATCCGGGATTTTAGAGGAGAAGTTTAAGTGGCAAACAAGTTTTGCCCTATCCGCATAAAGACCAGAAGACACAAAGAACAACCATGGAAGGTTAATAATCTGTCAGATAGCCATGTAGACAGATGAAGACAGGGATAGATAGACAGATCATAGACTGAAGCACAGTTTGG